ACACAAAGTAAGTGACTACATCCAGATCACTATTGAGGAAACTAGAAACAAAACTTAACTGAAATAATTGAAAAGTATTTATACCATTTTAGGATCACATTTCAGTTGAGCAAAAAATCGGTTTTTCCTTTAGTAATCAACACATTAAACGAATATCAAATCCATCTTGTGTTGCTACTCGACAAAATTCTTCATCATCAAGATAAATATATGTTCTTTGCATTATCTTACTGAATGAATATTGGATAACTTCAGTGTCCTCATGGCCATTTTGCCTTGATAGTAAGAATAATTTATAATTTATTCAATGAAGTATGACCTTACAATGTCTTTGGTTATTCAAATTACTGGTTTTTGTCTCTGGATTATGGAAGCTCTGTTACAACTCTTTTAGCTTGTTCTTATGTGATTTAGGGGAACATACCAATTTTTCTAAAGAAGAGTTAATTTCCTTGTGCATCAAACCCTGGATGGGCTATAACAACTTAAAGCGTAGATTCTTATGAAGTTTCTGAAAAGGCAGTTCCCTAGTCTCTTCGTTAGAACTCATATATTTGTTTTGCTAATTCACTACTAGAGCTCGACATATTTCTTTTTCCATATGTCTCTATTGTTGTGTGAAAGAAAAAGATATTCAAGGAAAGAAATTGAAGGAGAAAATCAGTCCAGTAGATACATGTGTATAAAGAAACATAAATATTGAATTAAATTAACAGGAAAACAAGGAGAGAGGCAAAATCGGTTTTCCTTGCTTGGGCTGGTGACCCCCTCTGTTTTAATAAGTTCACATGAACAAAATTAGTTCTGTGGTGGAGAGAGGCAAAATCTGGTGCTAGCATACTGATGCATTTTAATGACTTCTAAAGCTCTAATTTCAATGTGCATCCTAGAACTACATAAATGGGTTATGCTGTGATGGAAGCTGTCTCCACCACATATTAGTGCTGTAGGAAAGGTTATCATGTTGACAGCCTTATATTTTTTTATTATGATATAGAAGAGATGTTGTGTGTGTGAAATCCGTAGAAAAACGGGAGGCTTTAAATATGGCCTTGTCTTCTGAAGCTCTAGAATTTTTTTATCACCCGGTTGGTTGTCTATTACTGTTTTAGGTTCTCATTTGTTCAAGCGTCTTGATGGAACTGACTACTTTTTAGATGGGTGAGGATATCCATCCCCCTTTCTTTCGTCAGTATTTGTTGTTGTCTTGTCTCTAGATTAACTTAGTGGTATTCTCTCTTTAGAATTGTTTTCAGCAGTGCACTAGTCTTTTTCTTTTTCATTTTTAATTGATAATTTTTTTACTTGAAAGGGCTAACTTCTTTCTATTTGTTATTTGTTTGCTTGACGTTTTCCCTTTTGTCCTGGAACAGCCAGCAAAGAGCGTTTGCGGTTCAAGTTTTTGAGTTGCATCGTCTAATAAAGGTGAGGTAGTATCAGAATGCAATTTTGTACTGTAGACAATATAGATGTCATGTTGGACTGGATTGATTCATTACAGAGACAAGAGGAGTCAGTCTAGTCCTATGATGTAAACATTTTTAGCACTATCTTGGGTGCTGTGCCTTTTGAACTAATAAACTTACATATCAGAAAAACACAATTTACATTTACTTTTTTTCTTATTGAATTAAGTAATTCTGCTGAAGCTTTTGTGTAACTATAACAGGTCCAGAGACTCATAGCTAGTTCACAAAGCATGCTTGAAGATAGTGCTTATTTAAGCAAAGCTGTAAAGGATTCATCTGCTAAAAAACTTCCGTTGGAGTATATCGTCAGAGATGGTCACAATGTTTCGAAGCAGAGGAAGAATTTTGAGAAGCCAAACACTAGGATGGAATGTTCTGCGGAAAATACAGTAGGCAAACCTATGAAGGATTCATCTGCTAAAAGACTTCCGTTGGAGTATATTGTTAGAGATGGTCACAATGTTTCAAAGCAGAGGAAGGATTTTGAGAAACCTAACATTAGTATGGAATGTTCGGCTGAAAACACAGTGGGAAAGGCATCCTTCTCTTCTGTGCAAAATAATAGCCAGCCTTCAAGCTACACTTTGTTTCCAGGTCACCTAATAACAAATGACTCCACCATGGGTCCTTGGAGCTTCAATCAACCCTCAGGGCACCAATGGTTGATCCCAGTCATGACTCCTTCCGAAGGACTAGTATACAAGCCATATCCTGGACCCGGAGTCGCGAGTTCAATCTGTGGAGGTTATGGACCCCCAGGATCGACTCCGATAATCGGAAACCATTCAGCTCCATCTTATGGAATTCCAGCTTCTCATCATCAGTATCAAGGAGTCAGAATGCCTTTTGCACCTCCAGCTGGTCACAACTACTTTCCTTCATATGGCATGCCAGTCATTAATCCAGCAATCTCATCTTCAGCTGTCGATCAATCAAGTCTGTTTGTTGCTCAAGGTTTACAAGGTGAGTTATCAGGAGGAGGAGCTAATATTTCTGTTCAACGTCAGAACTCGAGTAACATGCCAAGCAATAAGAATGGAACTGTCCCAGATGTGACATCTCATTCCTATAGAGATGCTGAAATGCAGGCCAGCACTGCAAGCAGTCCAAGTGGAACAGCTAACAAAATAATTGTGGATAACGCCACAGCGCGAAGAAATGTTCTTCCTCTATTCCCAAGTTCTCCAGCTACCAAGAACCCGGATATAAGCTCCCAACCTCAAGTTCCTAGTCATCATGCTCGAGTCATCAAAGTCGTACCTCGTAATGCAAGGTCTGCCACAGAATCTGCTGCTCGGATTTTTCAGTCTATTCAAGAAGAGAGAAAACAATACGACTCTGGTGTTAATTAATCATCTATAGACAGTAGTTATCTAGTCATGAATGTGACCATTAGTTCATTATGATGTGTTTATGTATAATTTCTTGTAACCTTTTAGATAACAATATTGTAACTGGAATTTATTTGGTAAGTGAGTCATTTTGTAAATAACATACTTACCTTGTAATTATATCACTATTACATGATTTTTCTTCCTGGTGTTGTGTACAGAATAGTGAACATTGTTTTTAAACCCTCATATAAGTTATAATTTATCGGTCTTTTGTTTATCTGTGTTGAGGTGAAGCTCTAACAAATATCAGTTTATCAGAGATGTTGAAGCTTATGTTGCTCGGATTCTTCAGAAGTGTCGCAATACTTACATTAGATCCTCCAGTCAATAATGTTGTCGCATATGTGTAAGATTTTTATGTCGTTATAGCTGTGCTACGACATTTCTGGAGGATCAATGCAGCATAGGTTGAGGGGATCTATCCCGAGTCATCCGTCCACATGGATGAATACCTCCCAACCAATTAAGCTTATCCTGAACGACGCATTGAGTTTATACATTCAACCAAACAAAGTATAAATTATAATTTCAGGAATATAATCACGGAATAACTTAGTTCGAGAACCAAGAACTAATCTCAATCAAAAGTAAAAAAAGAGATTACAGAATTTGATTTGCTTTTTTGTTTGAATTCATCATCAAATTGCTTCTTTATGCTTGGTCACATCAGACTTAATGTGTTGTGATCATCTAAGGTATGAGGTGATTCGATCCTTTTTGCATACTCAAGTGCCATTTTTGTGTCCCTTCATTTGGGCTGAACTCGTTACCGTTGTTTGTATACACTCTACTCTCCCAGACCCCCACTTGGTGAAATTTCACTGATATGTTGTTTGTTTGTTGATGTTTTTATTCTTTTCTTGTCTATGTTTTATGATGAGTTCCTTTTTCCATTCTCGACAATTTTTTTGCACTACGTATCATATATATGCGGGAAAAAGGACAAATATACCCCCAAACTATCGTAAATGGTATGCAGATACCTCTGTCATACTTTTGGGACATTGGTGCCCTTGCCGTCTAAAAACTAGAGCATAGATGCCCTTCACTCTTAACGGAAAACTAAATAGGGACACGTGGCACAATCTTATCCGTCGATAAATGTCGGATCGGTGGATAAGATTATGTACATGTCTGGGATAATAAAGCCTATGCACTTCCTGGATGGTGAATTGGTATTTTATTGTTTTAACAAAGGGTTATTTATGTATAATATGGATCATAATACTTTGAGGAATATTGGAGGTCCACAAGGCTCAAAACCATATACTTGTTACCCTTAATAAAAAGAGCCTTTTAACCATAGCCTAGCTTTCTGTCATCTTGTTCTTTTACCTATGTAGTTTTGGAACTTTGAAATATATGTTATCAGTATTTATTAAGCTTCTGCTTTTGAATATGAAAACTATTTGATTTGTTTCTCCAAGAATATTGCTGCAACTATTGTCTGATCCTCTGAAAATGCACGCTTCAACCTCTGATGTGTTGGTCGTAGCATAGGTACAACAACATATTTAAAGTATCTTACACAGATGCGACAACGTTATTGGCTGGAGGATCTAATATAAGTATTGTGACACTTTTGAAGAATCCGAGCAACATAAGCTTCAACAGCTCTGATAAACTGATATATGTAGGAGTTTCACCTCAACATAGATAAACAAAGACACAGCAAAATCATGTAATAGTGATATAATTATAAGGTAAGTATGTTATTTACAAAATGACTCACTTACCAAATAAATTCCAGTTACAATATTGTTATCTAACAGGTTACAAGAAATTATACATAAACACATCATAATGAACTAATGGTCACATTGATGACTCTAACATGATGACTAGGAAATTGAGGTTGGGAGCTATATCGTCAAATTCAAAGGAGAGAAATAAGTCGGGATTGATGAAGAAAGGGGTATTGATTATCGAACCAAATATTTTATAATAGCTTTACCTCATACCCTACTTTTCTAGTAAATTTATTGTTTAAGTTGACATGTGACATATAACAACATAAAATTCTACAATTTAGCCAAAAATATTATATTCATCAAAACAATAGAATACCATACAACACAGTGCTAATATGGCTTTTTACAAATTCAGTCTTTTCACCATCCATGTTCTCTCTCTCTTACAAATTTTCAAACTTCTGTCACCTCAATAGCTATGCTGCTGGACTCTGGTGCTGCTTTCTAGTTCTACTCTCTCTTGCTGTTGATTTTTTGTTGTCTGGGGGAAATCTTGATTTTGCTAATTTGATGAAGTTGTGCTGCCTTTAACCCCTGCTGCTGGATTTGTAGTGTAGTTCATGCACTATCCGATTATCACTTCGACATCCATCCCACAACTGAAATCTAGTCTGCGAAGCTTGTATCATCCTGCAACGACTCAAAGCTTCCAGTCTCTCACTGCCATCGGCCACTATTCGTGAGTCAAAAACTCAGAGACTCCTCGAGAGGTTTTGAATTTTGGAATTTGATGCGAGCACATTTCAACTCCTTCACACCATCCACCCACCTCAAGTTTGTATACCTGGTCCATCGACCTGGTCATCATTATCCACCTTCCTGCATAGCCTGCGAAGCTGGGGCACCTCTAGAACATTGTTCCCAAGTACTAAGCGCCTCCTGGCAACGGAAGAATGTTATGTTGGACTGGTCAAGAAAACCTTCTTTTATAACTTCCAACAAGTTCCTTGATGTGGTGATGTCTAAACTATCAGACTGGAATTTTCATTTCACTCAGAAATGCATGGTTTCTGCTCCCCAGTATCCTCTGTTGATTTATCATCAGAACTTTGGTTTTGAAGGCCAGCAGTCTTAACCTCCTGGAGTGACTCCTCAGGAGTGATTATCTGTGATGATCCGCCTGACCGACTAGAAACACTTGCAGGAGACACAGATCCTATATCTTGAGGACTAATAGAAGCACGTTTCGGCAGTTTGTCGGACTGTACATCAACTGTATGGGTTTCCTGCTTCCTCTTTGAACGCCTTTCTTCAGAAGACATGCAACCTTTGGCATCTGTCTCGGGAGTATGCTGAATTGTATTTCTAGATTGACGTGGTCTCTTATACCCATCAGGAAAGACATAAGCAGGAATTTCCCTCCTAGGAACATGCGAGACATAGATATCCATGCCCGGTCTCCAATAAGAGTACATGCTTACATCTTGCTTAAACTCATCGACTGTTCCACGAATATCAAACTGTTGACCTTCTTGTACTTTGACACCCTTTTGCCTCTGCAAACCCATGAAAAAAGTACAATGCGGGCATGGCTTCGACATGTCCACAAATTCATTAGGATAAGGATGGCACTGCAACGTCCCATTGGTGTCCCGCTCAATCTGCAAAGCATCAACCGAAAACTACACATTACATCAATAGAATAAGAAGAAAAAGGACAAGGAAATTAGATCTTTCCCTCCCGGACTTTATCTTTCTGTGCTAACAATTCTCATCAACCTGAGTTAACTAAAAAAACTACCAACTTTCACCTTTAGCGTGAGTTGTCGAAGCCGTGATTCCACCCAGCCTTTCCAAGCTCGCAAATCACCATTATCTGCTGCTACGATTTCAACCTGGAGATAGTTTTTGTACGCCTCAAAGAAAAAATAATGCTCAAAAAGAGCAGGCCACTGTGCTTTATTCAACTCCACATCCTGGACAAAAGAATAAACTAAAAACATCAGCACTACTAACTAAAATTTGTTACAAGAAGAAGGGGAAAGAAAGAACACTGAACCTTTATAGCTTACCTCACAAATCTTGTTACCAATCTGAAATTGATCCATCATTACTCGAAGAGTGCTTGGTGAGACATTATAGCTAGAGTTCATGCAAGGGTAGGCAGGAGTGATGATTGGCATATGATGAGTTCTGTCTTTAGGATTCTTGCGTGGATCCCAAACAAGAAACCCAAGTTCATCCTCTTCTATTGGGCATAACATCACAGGATTTGGCCAACGCCATTGTGTATAAACACGGAAGAACCTAGAAACAAGCATACTAGGGATTGCATTTGGGTAAAACTGGCAAATGCGAGCAACCAAAAGAGCCCAATTCACCCCACCAAGAAATCCAGTAACCTGAATAAGAAGCACAGAAGAGGCAAACCAGAAAATCATGATCAGATTGGGATATTTCTAAAGAATGGCGCCATCATATCAAATTAATGGTAAAGAGTATGACCAAACAAGAAGAATGACTAGAGAGAGAGAGACCACTGAGATGGTTCGAGGGACTAGGAACTCACATTGGAATAAACACCACGTCTTTTGGCCCAGAACTTCAGACATCTAAGAGTTGTGCGGAAGTGCTGCAAAAGTTTTAAGTAAACATGGAAATGATCAATCATTTAAGGGAAGGAGGAACACTGATGGTTACCTTAGCATTGGGAACTAGTTTCAGTATTTGATCAGCAACTCGGCAACCATTCAGACTTCGAACAGTTGGTCCATCCACATTATAGAGTATAGATTGGTCTGAGATATCCAAATCCTATTGTCAAATCAAAATTACAAATTGGAGTTGAATTCAATTCAGCATAACAATATAATTGAAGCCTGAATAATAATATTCAAGAACCACATGTTTCATATCCAAAGCTCGCAAGAAAAGGTGGAACACAGTTGAAATACACATAATAAATGAGAAGTTGTTACATTCTCTATTGAATGAACGAATCCACGTAGACCAACTCTTCAAGTACCAGCCTTAACAAACAACATCCATGAAATCCTTGACATACCACAAGTTTCAAAAGGGAAATAAAAAGAAAAAGGAAACTACACAAATAAAGAACAATTCATGAAAACTTAATTCCAACTTACTTCAGGAATAACCAAGAGAGTTATACTTGCATAAAGAAGATCAATTGATATCCCTTGAAATTTGAATTTCATAACAGGGACATGAGCATCGGGAACTGGTTGAAGTTCACGAACTTCTTCCATTTCAGCTAAAATATCATGAAGAAGGATAAAGAAATCTTCCTGCATAGTAATAAAAAAAAAAGATGGGGTAAACACAAAAAGGAACAATTTTAATCAAATTATGTCATGTTCACTGAACCAAACAACAAAAAATTTGACCAGTGGGTTGTACTCACTTCTCGATTGACATAGGAGGGACCAACACACAATGTGTCAACGTCAGCTCCTGGTCCATGAACCTGCAAGGAGTACAATACCAACTTATACATTTGTTGAGCCAGAACCTCAAGATAGTGAACGAAGGGACCATTCAGATTCTAAAGTAACTTACATGTGAACCAGATTTAAGGGGAAAAAAATTCATGTGGACGCCACGTAGGAAATAAAGTTGGGGACAAAGGGATTTAATGGTCAAGGGCTTATATGTGCTCAAAGTTGGACGGTACGGGAAATATATTGAAAAGTATAAATATAACCTTTTTTGAAGAGTACATGGGAAAATCTGACCCTTTCCGCATATCCAATACTTCTGTTGGAGATGTGTTTAATGTTGTTAGAGATTTGTATGTCAGTACAGAATGTTGAGAACTTCTACTGTTTAAGAATCTAAATTGCTGAATATTAGACTGAGATAGACATAACCATGGATAGTGAGGATTCGTATTACTAATCCCAAATAGCTTGGTGTATGTTGTTTTTTCCAGTACTGAACACATTTACCATCTGCAGAGTGAAGACGCATCCTGTTCAAACTTTGTTTCAGGTTTTTCATGGATTTCCATACCTTTGTAAAACTAAATTACAAGACCTACAAGCTCATGGAATTCCTTCATCACCTTAAGTAGACCCAAATAAAAGCACTGCCTCCATTCTAGGACAAAATAGTTCAACTACTTAACAATCCCGTGAGATATTGCACAAATCTAAGTCCATTGGTTATTAACCAAGGTTAAACTTGCAGCACAGAAAACGGAGCAGCATGAGATCACTTAGAGACTAATTGCAAAACAGGAATAAATTGGAAGTCCTAGACTAGTGTTGTTACTCAGTTTCTAAAGGTGCCGTCCAAAATTTTATTAAGTTGAACTTCACATAAAACGGTCCATATAATGCATAGCATTTCTAACCTCCAATCAGAAGAAAGCTAGGAACATAAACCGAGTAGAGGGTATGTTAATCTTACAGGTGAAGATTTGAAGCATAATTAACATCCAGAGAAGGGGATTCTATTAAGCTGCTTCCGGAAGAACTAACTACAAGTAACTTCCATAAACGCTGAAACTTTTACTTACCCCTAGACGATAAGAGCCAAAGGTGACTATGATAGCATTTGCATCCTCAACCATTTGATCTGTGTAGCCTCTCTGGCGAGTCAATTGTTTGACCCATTGTTTTACAATCTACAACAGAATAGTGACTGGTCATTACAACTTCTTTCACTACACTTCCATGGATAGATCACCTTATGAGAATCCAACTCTATTAGTTGGATATTATGGACATATGAAATGAATTCAATATGCAAATGGTAGGATAATACAAGAGGGATTATTGCAAGGAGCTAAATATCAAAATAACCAGCAAATCCAATGCATAAACTGAAAAGTTTTTTCCTAGTACATGACAATTCTGGCAAACAATAATGCATATTATCAAATTCATGTAAACATAAAGGGGTCGTTTGGTAGCTGGATAAAAAGCAAATTATCCATGTATTAATGTCCGTATAACTTGTATGAACTATGACGTATAACTCTAGATAGGAAGGAGTGGAGGTCGCTATTAGGGTAGAAGGTTAATAGGGGTAGAGTGTTGTTTTTCCTTGCGAGGGTTTAGACTTGTTAGTGCCTGTCGTAGTACTAGTCACACACTTGTAGTTCTTGTTTTTGCTATCTATAGCCATATGTTTTTTTTGCATTTCACTTCCCACGCTATTTTGTTGTTGTTATTGCTCCTTTTAAAATTGTACACTGCTTTTTCTTATTAAATGTTCTGTTTTCTTCATTGTTTTCCTCTTCTTTTACTTAAGGGTCTTTCGAAGACAGCCTCTCTATCTCCATAGTCTACTCTCCAGACCCCATTTAGTGGGATTTCACTAGATATGTTGTTGTTGTACGACGTATGAAAGGTAGATACGAAATAAGTTATTTTTGGTATAGAATTAATACGACGTTTGGTTGACAATTTAGAAACCCGCATAACTAATACATGAATAATTGATCTCTACATAACTAATACTTGCATAAAATAATACATATATTCTCTCATAACTAATCCAAATTGTTAAAGTAATTAATGTGGTTTACCTCGTCAAGTCGCTGCAGTACTTCTTCTCTCCTAGCAGTCTCTTCCTCACTCTCATACAATTCTGATTCCCTCAAAAACTATCCCATCACCATAAAACCCAAAAGTCAATACAAATTCATAATCAAGTGAAATCAACTCAGACAATCCTAGAACAAAAATATAAAAAAAGAACTACCTTTTCTAGTTCTGCATTTCTTTGAAGATCTGCCTCAGTGGGTCCAGCAAGAGATAATGGCTTTGTGACACCATATTTCTTTGGTGGTGGTGCAGCAGACTCACTTAAGCTCTCGGAACTCACCATCACACTGACGAGAAAAGGAAACAACCCAAACCAAAAAGAATACCAGTCTGAGTTACCAAACTTCAGATCAGCATAAAAGCTAAACTTTACACATCATTGAACAATTGAAATACAGACCACTTTGTGGGATTTCACTGAGTATGTTGTTATTGTTGTTTGTTGTTTGTTGAACTAATGAAATGCAGAACCAGAACAATCAAATGAAAAAGGCCAGTCAAGTTACCAGAATTCAAATTAGCATAAAAGCTAAACTTCACAGATCACTGAACCGATCAAATGCTGAACCAGAAAACAAAAAAATGAGAAATTTTTAACTATGAAGGACAAAAATTGAAATGGAAAAACCCCACGAGAAACCAAAATTCAGATTAGAGTAGAAGCTCAATTTCACAGATCACTGAACCAATCAAATGCGGAACCAGAAAAGGAAAATACAGAGAATTTTTCAACTCTCTGAACATAAATTGAATAGAAAAAACGCGAAAGAGACCAGTCGAGTTACCCAGAATTCAAATTAGCATAGAAGCTGAACTTCACAGATCACTGAACCAAATCAAATGCCGAACCAGAAAAGGTAAAAGGGAGAATTTTTTTCAACCCTATGAACAAAAATTGAAAAGGTAAAAAAACCTAGAGCAGAAAAAGACCAATCGAATTACCCAGAATTCAAATTAACATAGAACCTGAACTTCACAGATCACTGAACCAATCAAATGCGGAACTAGAAAACGAAAATACAGAGAATTTTTCAAAGTCTATGAACAGAAATTGAAAACGAAAAACCCTAGAGCAGAAAAAAAACCCAGTCAAGTTACCCAGAATTCAGATTAGCATAGAAACTGAACTTCACAGATCACTGATTACTGAACCAATCAAATGCGGAACCAAAAAACGAAAAAAAACAGATTTTTTCAACCCAATGAACGAAATTGAAAAGTAGAAAACAACCCAGAGCAGAAAAAGACCAAATAGAGTTATCCAGAATTCAGATTATCATAAAATCTGCTAAACTTCACAGATCACTGAACCGATGAAATACTGAACCAGAAATCAAAAATGGAAGGAAAAAAAGGATAATTTTTCAATTCAGTATGAATATGAAAGCTCTCATAAATTTGAACGAAGGAATATTCAGTGTATATAGAAAGAGAGAGATCTGGAGAGGATAAAGTGGATTTTGGGGGTTTTGCCGCTGGGTTTAGCAAATTACAAGGGGTGGGGGGATTGCTTTACTAGAGGTTTCGGTTTGAGTTCTAGGAAAAGAAATCTTGTTGAAAATATTATATTTGTATCATCAGCTTCGATACGAAAACGAAACACTATATGAAAATCAAAAAAAGAATTAACCATTTTAAATTAGTCAATCAAATACTATACTATCTTTCTCTAAAAAAATATTTCATATAACTGATTAGTTATTTAAATTTTTACTTTATTGATTATGATTCTATTTTCGTCTTGAAATTTTACTAATTCATAATTCAGTTGATTGATTATATATATAGGAGTACCTTTTTAACGAAAGCTTGATTCCCACCTTTTAGTTCTCTTCTCTATTTTTTCTTTGTCTATCTTAATTATTTTTCTTATAATTAAATTGTAAATAATTAAGCATTAAATATATATAAAATAACAAATAAAGAATATTTTAGTCTAATTCTAATTTTTTTCCTTTTGAAATACTTTTTGTTTTATATATTAGCTCAAAATGTATTAATTATTTCTTTTGTTATGTTGCTCTTAGTTTGTTAATTTGAAAACTACATATCTTAATTATGACATATAAAAAAATTTATGATTTATTTTGATGAAAGAGACTCACGGAGAATTAATGATAAATTAAAGGTATGAAGACAAATTTTGGAGTCTAAAATATTAAGTTTGAGTAGGATCAAGATTTGACTATTTGGAGTGTTAATTCGAAAATATGATATATGAGGCAAGCGTGAATGACACTCAAAGTGTCCTCGGGTCTCTGATCCATGAAACTAGAGAAATCGACGATAATGTCACATATTATATTTGTGCGGTATGAATAAAGTAGAAGCTTGCGTTCAACGTTTTGTGTAACAAAAATATACCATCAAAACTAAAAATAAATTTTATCGAGTGAAATTATGAAATAAAATCACATATTTAAATTCTACTTGATTTTCCGTGGACTAATAAATTTGAATTAGTACAACAATACACATTAATCATTTTGAAGTATCACCCAAACTAAGAAGAAACAACATCATTTAAGGATTAAAATGTTTAATAAAGAAGAAACTCTTCTCATCTATCATAAAAATAATGAAACATAATCAAACGTCTATTAAGTCGTATATATAGGAATATAATATTTTTTTATTAATTACATATATAATTATATTTAAAAAATTGAAATGATATGATAAATGCCACCACCAGCCGACCAACTTCCATATCCATATGTTTTCACTCTTCCGGTAAAAAAATATCATTTTTTTCACTTTCCCCTTTGAAAATTCTGACTAATTTTTGCTCCTTTGATTCGTGTGAAAGAACAAATCTCCAATTCACGTGTTGTACTGTCACGCTTGTTTGTGTTATTACTACAATATTCCAGTTTCTTCTCTCACAAGAACCAAAAAATACAAATCTCTCTTTTCTTGGGTTGACTCAAATTTAACATATATATGTATTTTTTTGTTTTTGTGATTCTGTTTTCAGATACCCTTTTGAATTTCCATTGAGAAAGTTGGAATCTTTTTTATTTTTGTATATTTAGGGAAGATGGGTACTGAGAGTAATTACCAGATGAAGGTGGTGAAAGGAGATTATGGCTATGTTCTTGAAGATGTTCCTCATTTGACTGATTATATCCCTGATCTTCCTGTATTGTTCTTGTATTCTCTCTTTTTTCTCTTAATTTCTGAATGATTTTGAGTATGCATGTGTTTGGATGTTGTATATGTGAATCTCTAATTGTTTGATTTTGTCATTTTGTAATGTTAATTGATTGGGTTTGTTTAGTTATTGCATCTTGTGTTGTTTGTCCTTCACTTGATCCATAAAAATGTAGAAAGAAATGTGAAAGAAGCTATTTTTACGCGATACCTACCACCTTCCACCATAAACATGTACTATGTAACTCTGTCTAGCTATGACAGATGAGAAAAAATCACATAGTGTTTATGTTGAGGTGTGAGCAAGTTGACTTGGACACCACCGTTATAAAAAAAAAAGAGTTAAAGAAGCTCATTGGGGCTATGCATCGAGATGTGTGGCAATCTCACATTATGAGTTAGCTATTGAATGGAGTATATAGTGCTTAAGTGGAGGAGGGTAGAGAGATATGGTTGTTATCTTTTTTTTTTTTGATAACCGAGAAATCCGTTTGTGACCCGCTCTTTGGACCAATCACAGCCTTCTAAACTTGCTGGTATAAATGGATTTCTGGTTAAATGTACAGTGTCATTTTCTTTCCGTTTTGAAAACAGTTAAGAATATGTTCTTTGTTGTAGTGAACTGAAAACGCACTAATATTGGGAGATCTTTAAAATTTATTGATGACTTCAAATGTCATGTAATTGGGGAGGGGAGCTGGTTACAGAAGTATGGTATCCATAAAGCACACATGGTTTCTCATGCTTAGTTTCTACTAATTTTTACTGTTTGAAGTTCTTGGAGAAATGATTATTGGGCTTCTGATGAAGTTTTGTCAGAACCTAAGAGATAGAATCAGAAGCCCTTTGTATGAAGGGTGGGGGGTGGGGGGGGGTAGGGGGAGATCTTCTACTCAAATTCTTTGGGACGGCAAAATTAAGATATCAGTGTTGTGCTTTGAAGTTTTAAGTAGCCTGCAAAAGGAAAGAGTTCATAGCTATCTCAATGAGGGGACATCCTAACTTGTTGGAGGATGATTAGTTGTCTGAACTGGCATTTATGTAAAAGAAAAGATGTTTTGGGGGCGCCTACAATTTGGTGCTCAGCACAGCTGCTAGATGCTATCTAGATCTTTTATTTTGTGTCAGTAAACAAGAGGCATCAAGTGAATATGCATTGGCTTTTGTTGTAGTCTAATCAGTTGTTAATGCAGAACCGTTATATGTATGAACTTTCGTTCATTTTACAAAACGTTTTCGTGATGTCTGCAATTTCGTTTTGAACACAAGTGCTAAGTTCAGGTTTTGTTGGACTGACAAGTATTCGTACATCCTTCTGTCCACAAACCAATCCTAAAGAAACCATATCCTTTCCATCACTCTCCTTTGTTTTCTTTCATGTTCTCAATTCAATCACTTTGTTGGAGAAGCTCATTCCATCTGTATTTTGTTTTTGGAAGGGAACCAGTTTGTCATCACTTTAAATATCGTGAATGCTGGCATGTGACCTTTTGTGACACAATATCCTAGTTCCTCTTGTTATAACCCCCCCCCCCCCCCACCCTCCCCTCCCCTCCCCTTTTTTTAAGTGTTTTAAATAAATGGTTCAATTTTAGCTCTTATAGGTATTATCTTTTCTATACTGCCAACCTTCATGTCTCTTGTGCTGGATGCTGATATTTACTAATTGAACTTCTTTTACATCTTGTTGCTTGACGGCAGACTTATGACAATCCATTGCGGTCCAATCCTGCATATTCAGTTGTGAAGTGAGTTGATCACCAAAAATTCTTTCGTTATGCTTCAAGCTGATGTGGCCGTTACTTTACGGTTAATTATATATGCATTTCATCCATAACAAGTTATGAACTTTCATTGTGGTTTCAGGCAGTACTTTGTTGACATGGATGATACTGTCCCCCAAAAGGTGAGTCCTGCTTCTTAACTTGTTCCATGGGTCTAGAATTCTCTACAAAGAAGAAAATAGTATACCCATGTTCGTTCCAATGTTCGATGAAATACTAAGACAAATTACATTTGACTACATAGAATCTTGAGAAAGCTGGGCTTAGGATTCTCTATTTACTACCTTGGGAGTGCAGGTGATCCAAAGAATGTACTAATAGGAATAACTTGAAAGCTAGAGTAGAGGACTATTACACTTCGATCTAGGTTTTGGGAAAATGAAGATCCCGTATTTTGTTGAATTTGACATATCTAGTAGTTCTGCGTAACATATGAACACTTTGTTATTCCACCCTTGCCACAAATTTCATCTCAGGAAACAGAATCTAAGCATTGAAATGGAATGCTTAAAGGATAAACAAAATCAAGGTATATGTCAAAAAATTGAGAATTTACTCCATTATATAGCTGAAAGGTACAAAAAAGAACATGCTGATATGATTAAGAATAGGTGTCT